ACATCCCTGTCACTGGCGATCTTACATCATTACACATCCCTGTCACTGGCGATCTTACATCATTACACATCCCTGTCACTGGCGATCTTACATCATTACACATCCCTGTCACTGGCGATCTTACATCGTTACACATCCCTGTCACTGGCGATCTTACATCATTACACATCCCTGTCACTGGCGATCTTACATCGTTACACATCCCTGTCACTGGCGATCTTACATCGTTACACATCCCTGTCACTGGCGATCTTACATCATTACACATCCCTGTCACTGGCGATCTTACATCGTTACACATCCCTGTTACTGGCGATCTTACATCGTTACACATCCCTGTCACTGGCGATCTTACATCATTACACATCCCTGTCACTGGCGATCTTACATCGTTACACATCCCTGTCACTGGCGATCTAATATCGTTACAGATCCCTGCAACTGACAATGTTACATTTTTTTGCAGATCCCTGTCACTGGCGATCTTATATCGTTGCAGATCCCTGTCACTGGCGATCTTATATCATTACACATCCCTGTTACTGGCGATCTTATATCATTACACATCCCTGTTACTGGCGATCTTATATCATTTCACATCCCTGTTACTGGCGATCTTATATCATTACACATCCCTGTCACTGGCGATCTTACATCGTTACACATCCCTGTTACTGGCGATCTTATATCATTTCACATCCCTGTTACTGGCGATCTTATATCATTACACATCCCTGTTACTGGCGATCTTATATCATTACACATCCCTGTTACTGGCGATCTTATATCATTACACATCCCTGTTACTGGCGATCTTATATCATTACACATCCCTGTCACTGGCGATCTTACATCGTTACACATCCCTGTTACTGGCGATCTTTTATCATTACACATCCCTGTCACTGGCGATCTTACATCGTTACACATCCCTGTTACTGGCGATCTTTTATCATTACACATCCCTGTCACTGGCGATCTTACATCGTTACAGATCCCTGTCACTGGCGATCTTACACCGTTACACATCCCTGTCACTGGCGATCTTATATCATTACACATCCCTGTTACTGGCGATCTTATATCATTACACATCCCTGTTACTGGCGATCTTATATCATTACACATCCCTGTCACTGGCGATCTTGCTTCGTTACAGATCCCTGCAACTGACAATGTTACATATTTGCAGATCCCTATCACTGGCGATCTTACATCGTTACAGATCCCTGCAACTGACAATGTTTCATTTTTTTGCAGATTCCTGTCAGTGAAAATGTTAATTTTTTTCAGATCTCTGTCACTAACAGTGTTACTTGTTTGCAGATCTCTGTCACTGACAATCTTAAAGTTTTACAGATCCCTGTCGAATGTGAGAGCCAGAGAAACACTTCCCATGATCCACCATGACGCCATCTTCCTCGTGTATGAGAACCTTACTGCTGATGTCATTGTTGGCCGTGACCTCCGTGACCTGTATTCGGCGTGCTAAGGTCATAACTGTCATGTTTGTTTAATGTCAGCAATCTCCTTCATAACTGTCATGTTTGTTTAATGTCAGCAATCTCCTTCATAACTGTCATGTTTGTTTAATGTCAGCAATCTCCTTCATAACTGTCATGTTTGTTTAATGTCAGCAATCTCCTTCATAACTGTCATGTTTGTTTAATGTCAGCAATCTCCTTCATAACTGTCATGTTTGTTTAATGTCAGCAATCTCCTTCATAACTGTCATGTTTGTTTAATGTCAGCAATCTCCTTCATAACTGTCATGTTTGTTTAATGTCAGCAATCTCCTTCATAACTGTCATGTTTGTTTAATGTCAGCAATCTCCTAAATTACATGAGTAGACACTTGTACAGGCAATAAACAGTTAGTTTAAGCAAAGCTCCTGTGATATGCGCACACAGAAGGATAGACTCCATATCATGTGGGTAACAACAACAACAACGAGGTACCGGCGTTCTCGGGAGGCAAGGGGTAAACAGCAAGCTGTTGAAAGACAAAAAACAGAAAAAGTAAAATAATGAGATTCTATTAAGCCTAAGTACAAGTAACAAGGAAAAGATCATTTTTTACGCCCGGAGATGAATTGGGCATATAGGGCGAGAAAAATTTTTTTAGACCAATCGGCACTCGGTGTGTTGTGTTGTCTTTACTTCATTACTTATTTAAGGTCGGGTCGACCTGAGAGCCAAGATCATTTCTGAAAAAGGTCCTGCCCCGTCAGGATCATCGGATCCAAACACATAGCAGCTCACAAAAGTGGATCCCTTTCAGGCTTAGAACTCTGTTTAATACCCGAAGTGAACAAATGAAGATAATTAAGCAAGATGTATACAGTGTTACAAGTGGGATGATAACATCAAGATATGTAGGAACAGCGCTCATGTCATTTACAACAATGGCTTTGGAGATAATGTTAGAGATCTGATATCCATTGCAGCCAACCTTTATTGTAGAGACGGCACCCCCTTGAAGATACCATCTTCGTTGTGGAGACGGCACCCCTTTGAAGATATCACCTTCATTGTAGAGACGGCATCCCTTGAAGACATCCCCTTCATTGTGGAGACGGCACCCCATTGAAGATATCACCTTTATTGTAGAGACGGCACCGCCTTGGAGACATCCCTTTCATTGTGGAGACGGCACCCCATTGAAGATATCACCTTTATTGTAGAGACGGCACCGCCTTGAAGACATCCCCTTCATTGTGGAGACGGCACCCCATTGAAGATATCACCTTTATTGTAGAGACGGCACCGCCTTGAAGACATCCCCTTCATTGTGGAGACGGCACCCCATTGAAGATATCACCTTTATTGTAGAGACAGCACCGCCTTGAAGACATCCCCTTCATTGTGGAGACGGCACCCCATTGAAGATATCACCTTCATTGTAGATACGGCGCCCCCTTTAAGATTTCACCTTCATTGTAGAGACGGCACCCCCTTGAAGACATCACCTTTATTTCAAGCAGATCTTGCCGTTCTCCCCGCTGGCCGAGTGGTTACAATGTCAGGCTATCACTCGGGAGACCCGGGTTCGACCTCGGGTAAGGTAATGGAGTTTTCAGTCTGGAGAGAATTTAAACATCGGAACTTGCACAGTCATTGGCGAATGCACTAGCCAAGCGGCTCCACAACGCCCTAAAAAGTGGTAAAGCAGACAGTTGTGACAGTTCTGATTGACGTTTCCATCAAACACAAACCGATCGTCTCAGCACGCTGCACAAACTCACGTGCACCGGTGAGGTACCTGTGCGGTTTCAAGAGAATTGCTTGTGGGTATTACTCACTGAAGGTGGATCTAAGTTGACCATCGCTAGGCATGGGCCTAGGAAATGTCTCCTTGTCTATGGCCTTCCTCTAACGGATGTCTGAGCCTGCACATGTTTACGGATACGCCTAAATGTCCTTAACATCCGAAAACGCTGTTCGGGATCAGGTTCGAGTGGAACCTGAATGGCTACCGACAACTAACTTTAAGTCGCCGTGTCCTTGTTTGACAGCGCATCTATAGTGTATGCTGCCTTCACAGGTCGTCCGTACAAGGAACAAAGATACAGTCTTTGACTGGAGACAGAAGGGTGTTATCTCCCCTGTTTCTGACCAAGGTCAGACTGGCGATCCTGTAGCTTTTGTTGTCGCCGGTAGGTACTCTGTCTCTCTCTCTCTCTCTCTCTCTCTCTCTCTCTCTCTCTCTCTCTCTCTCTCTCTCTCTCTTTCTCTCTCTCTCTCTCTCTCTCTGTCTCTCTTTCTCTCTCTCTTTCTCTCTGTCTCTCTCTCTCTCTTTCTCTCTCTCTCTGTCTCTCTGTCTCTCTCTCTTTCTCTTTCTCTCTCTCTCTTTATCTCTCTCTCTCTCTCTCTCTCTCTCTCTCTCTCTCTCTCTCTCTCTCTCTCTCTCTCTCTCTCTTTCTCCGTTCTCTATTTAAGATGTGCTGTATAAAACTCGCATGTTTAGTAAGACTGAATGTATGACAGACTTACGTGCTATATTTGTGACCTTATAAAAAAAAAGTATTTCGTTAGTTTGTTATGCATGAGTGAGTTTGTACTTTCGAATGCACATTTATTTTCCTTTTCTTGATCTGGATATCGTTTGACGAATGTTTTAGAATCCTCTCTAAGACTTTGAGACAATGTCTGTGAATCTGAAAGTCTGCTTCTTTAAATCCTTTCCCATACACAAACACACTTATTAAAAACTAACACATGCTTTTATCTTTTGGAGCGAGAAAGCGAAAGAACCACTTCTTTTGATTTACTGACTACTTAAGTAACAACTCTAGTGGGATTGTGTTACAGTGCCCTCCTGACCCCTCTCAAAGCCCAGCAATCCTAGTGAAAATTACTTCAGCAGAGCAGCATATTAGAATGTAACCAGGTGTTGATTCAGTGCAGCATCGATGGTGTAACCAGGTGATGATTCAGTACAGATTCAATGATGTAACCAGGTGATGATTCATTGCAGCATCGATGATGTAACCAGGTGATGATTCAGTACAGCATCAATGATGTAACCAGGTGATGATTTAGTACATCATCGATGATGTAACCAGGTGATGATCCAATGCAGCGTCGATGACGTAACCAGATGATGATGCATTGCAGCATCGATGATGTAACCAGGTGATGATTTGATTCCGGACAGCTTTGATGATGAGACGTTGTCCTAGTTTAAAGGGGAGATTTTAGTCTTTTTCTTGAAAAATATGGAACGCAACCAGGCACGTAAATACCATCTTATTGGGAAAGCAGACATGAATCGGATACCTTAACCTACACGATATTCTAAATAGGACTGTAATGGCAGATATAGTTCCATAAAAACGGCACACTGACTACACGGAGTTTCAGACACTAGGGACAGTCTACTTCTGAAGCTATAAGTGTTAGGAGCCCTTTACATGAGCGCACATGAAGAAAAGGACCGCAGAAAATATCATCATGTGTAATGTCATATGTAACCGGTGTCAAACGTATTCCATCAACAGAGGCTGTAGAAAGCTTGCATGCCATACAGAATGGTCAACGCGTGATAACACTCAGCCGGCAGGAAGTGACCGACTGCTGCGGGGAAGACTTTCATCCCAAGTACCAGGGCTACAAATGTGTAGCTCTCATTGGTGGACTGTGTTCGGCCTTGACCTACACGCCTTCTGTTGGCGGTTGTGACAACAAGACATGTCTGGCCGTTGGCAAGGTAACGATGACCTCTCTAGCTGTTGGAAAGAATACTGTCTGTAGATAAATAATCTTTATTTAGCATATCAGCGAGATGGATCTCCTAGTTTACATTACCTTCATCATCCACGAATGTGTTCCGGGGCCCAATTATAGGCAAATCAAGGATAGGCCCGCTGGCTCAGTAATATTTATGACTTAAGAGTCGACTAATTAGGAGCAACATTCTAAGTCGGAGTGCATCTGCCTGAGAGGCCAGGAATCCCCAGTCTGCATATACAGGAGCCAAATTTGTAAAATGGATGTGCACGCAAAGTTCAATTTTGTTAAACAAGACTTAAGTCTGGAAGGAGGACGAACAACCAGAACTTTCCACCAAAGTTAACAGCCAGTGAATGCAGTGAGGGAAAATATATAATCATCGCCGTCATCATCATCATTTTCATCAAATCTTCATGTTCATCATCATTATTATTATATTCATTATCATCATATTCATCAACATCTTCATCCTCCTCGTCACCATTACCATCAGAAGCAGCTTAATTACCATTAGCAGCAGCATCTTAATTACCATTAGCAGCAGCATCTTAATTACCATTAGCAGCAGCATCTTAATTACCATTAGCAGCAGCATCTTAATTACCATTAGCAGCAGCATCTTAATTACCATTAGCAGCAGCATCCTAATTACCATTAGCAGCAGCATCCTAATTACCATTAGCAGCAGCATCTTAATTACCATTAGCAGCAGCATCTTAATTACCATTAGCAACAGCATCTTAATTACCATTAGCAGCAGCATCCTAATTACCATTAGCAGCAGCATCTTAATTACCATTAGCAGCAGCATCTTAATTACCATTAGCAGCAGCATCTTAATTACCATTAGCAGCAGCATCTTAATTACCATTAGCAGCAGCATCTTAATTACCATTAGCAGCAGCATCTTAATTACCATTAGCAGCAGCATCTTAATTACCATTAGCAGCAGCATCTTAATCATCATCATCTTCATCAGATTTACGAGCTCTGTGACTAGTTGTGAAGGATCCTGATCATATAATTCCAATAATGAGTGTTCGATGCGGTTCCCTGCAACTGCAGGCGTGTCTATGTGAACAGATATGTGAACGTCTGTTGTATGAAAGCTGTCAATGTCCCATCCCTGCTGCTTGACCCCAACCAACAGTCCCTCCAGTATTCTGTTTGATGTGTCTTCTCATCTTAGTTTCTGTCCAAGCCATGAGAGTCTCCAGACATTACTTGAAACCAACTCTACACCTCATAAACGAGTCTGTTACCTCGTAATGCTATTAATTGCTGAATGCGTTACTGGTAAAGAGTCGTTAGTCCAACTTTACTGCAGACCAGTTGCCCCATATCTGCCCCGATCCCGTGCCAGTGTAAATCACACACAAACGTCCTTTCCTGGATCATTGGTTTAAGTGTCAAGTTTAAGTGAAAACGCCGACAAAATTTCCCGTGTCCCTAGGTGACGGGAACCGGCTACGTCCAGGCGAACCGTGAGGATCTGATGGTCAAGATTATCCACAAGACTCCACTCTCTGCTGCTCTAGACTCTAGTCAGGAATCATTTCAGGTAATCTCTAGCAACTGCGTGACCACTAACTGTCTGTGCGACTGTCTATCTGGTCATTGCCTGTCTGATCGATGGTTTGTCTTGTTAGTCTCCCTACTCTACTGGCTGTCTGATCGATGGTTTGTCTTGTCAGTCTCCCTACTCTACTGGCTGTCTGGTCGATGGTTTGTCTCGTCAGTCTCCCTACTCTACTGGCTGTCTGATCGATGGTTTGTCTTGTCAGTCTCCCTACTCTACTGTCTGTCTGATCGATGGTTTGTCTTGTTAGTCTCCCTACTCTACTGTCTGTCTGATCGATGGTTTGTCTGGTCAGTCTCCCTACTCTACTGGCTGTCTGGTCAATAGTTTGTCCTGTCAGTCTCCCTACTCTACTGTCTGTCTGATCGATGGTTTGTCTTGTCAGTCTCCCTACTTTACTGTCTGTCTGGTCGATGGTTTGTCTTGTCAGTCTCCCTACTCTACTGTCTGTCTGGTCGATGGTTTGTCTTGTCAGTCTCCCTACTCTACTGTCTGTCTGATAAATGCTTTATCTTGTCAGTCTCCCTACTGTACTGTCTGTCTAATCGATGGTTTGTCTTGCCAGTCTCCCTACTCTACTGTCTGTCTGATCGATAGTTTGTCTTGTCAGTCTCCCTACTCTACTGTCTGTCTGGTCGATGGTTTGTCTTGACAGTCTCCCTACTCTACTGGCTGTCTGGTCGATGGTTTGTTTGTCAGTCTCCCTACTCTACTGGCTGTCTGGTCAATGGTTTGTCTTGTCAGTCTCCCTACTCTACTGGCTGTCTGGTCGATGGTCTGTCTTGTCAGTCTCCCTACTATACTGGCTGTCTGATCGATGATTTGTCTTGTCTGTCTCCCTACTTTATTGGCTGTCTGGTCGATGGTTTGTCTTGTCAGTCTCCCTACTCTACTGACTGTCTGATTGATGGTTTGTCTTGTCAGTCTCCCTACTCTACTGGCTGTCTGATCGACTGGCTGTACAAAACACCACACTAAATACATTCATCGTGCTCCTCGGGGAGTCGCAGTAGTTCCATGACTTAGACTGGACACCATATCCAGGCTGGCTTCTATAACAGACCTGGGCTTTCATGTCGATCTGATGGTGAGACCATCAGCCCAGGCAGACCATCAACTGGAGAAAAGAACGATGACAGGCCAAGTCTGGCTAGTCGACAGGACTGTCTTAGGCCCGATGGTACTACAAACACATGATGGAGAATTTGAAAATGTCACAGACTTGATGCGAATGCAAACCGACCAACTGCCTCTACGAGCATACAACGAACAGCACTACTGCCCTAGAGCAAGAGGCAGACCGAGAGTACGATGGATAGACAATATATCATAGATCCTGAGGCAACACGGACTAACAATAACACGTGCAACACACCTGGCCCAGGATAGAAAACTGCGACTCCCCACTAGGCTGTGAGGCAATTGTGGACAAGACAAGACAAGACACAGATTTTGATTTTCAAATCCCTATAATAAATGGCAAAAAAAGACAGTTTGACAGAAGTCAAAAGGAGGATGGCCATAGCAATGCACAGATTTAACAACGTTAAAACTATATTTAAGCGCCAGAAAGGAAATCAAAATTAAAACTCGGAGAGCATGCATCTTGCCTGTAGCAACATGCGGGTGCAAGTCTTGGATTACCCCCAGTTATAAACGAATCAAATGGGAGCTTTCTGAGCTTGTATAAAAACATTCTCAAAATATCGTGGACCAAAAAGAAAAAAACACACTGACACCCTCCAATGAAGATGAAGGAAGATTTACTAGTAAACATGTCTCAGAAACTGAAATATTTTGGCCAAATCAAGCACTACTGTGTGTTAGAAAAACAACAGCAGAAGACATGGTACAATGAAAGAGGGGCAGGGGGCGATCAGCGCCAAGATGGGTACATGAAATAGGTCACATGATATAGGTCACATGATATAGGTCCCATGATATAGGTCACATGATATAGGTCACATGATATAGGTGACGCTTTGCGTGGGGAAGTGCATGAGACGGGAGATCTGGCGGGAGGCCGAGTCTCTTCCAGGAAGGCGGTGATGGGAGCGACGTTCTGTAAAGGACCGGCTACATAATGCTGGCTCCTGGGTCAGGAAATGTTCAGAGAAGTAAACGCGCCAGGTATCATACTGACCACATATTTCCTTACTAGTGACAATACCAGGGAACTTCAATTGAAAACATGAAAAACATGACTGCGATTACAATAACAATGCCACTGTCTTATAGACTGTCAGTATTTTTGTTAAGGAAGTCAAGCATGTTAAGCACACGACATCAGGGTACAGGCGAACACAATTTAAACATGGCCGCCCAACTTTTGATGTGCACAGAAGAGGAGAAATGTCTGGGTGTGATCTCTGTGACAGGCTGTACCAGACTCTCATGTGCAGGAGTTTGTAATGGCAACATATCGCAGAATGCTACACGCTTTGTCCAAAGTAATAATTTACTGAATCTCACTTTAAAAAAAAAATATGCCATCTCTCTCTGTCTGTCTGTCTCTCTATATATCTGACTATGTCATACACTCTCTGTGTATGTATGTGAGTGTGTATGTGCTTCCTAAATCTCTTCTAACTCTCTCCATCTATTTTGTAGTATCGCTGGCATTTCTTTGTCAACATTACCGCCACCCCCACCCCTTCACACACACACACACATGTGCGGGCGCCCGTATTTCACTCTGGCCCGCTCTCTCACTGTTACATACTGTACTCTATCTAGACTTCTCTACCTGTGTTCCACCATTGATCAGTCCTGCTGTCTGCTTGTTCTAGACGTACGTCGGTGGAATTTACTCGGACCCATCCTGCAGCTCTACCAAGCTGGACCACATCGTGCAGATTGTCGGCTATGGGACATCATCAACGGGCGAGGATTTCTGGATCATCAAGAACTCATGGGGTCAGTTTATGTCTGTATTTTCTTGTATCAGAATCAATTGACTGTAAGCGACCTTGTCATGACGAGTCTGGAAACCTCTATGGGGCTGCGTGATTAAGCCGGACATCTGTTTCAAAGCTATGAGTCTTCAACGTCTGTGCGATTTCTGTGGAATTAGGGTCTTAAATTTACACTTGCAACACTGCTCTTTTCTTCTTCTTTTCTCTACTCCTGGAATGCATCGCAGCTATAGTATTTCATAGACATGTTGGCTTTTTCTGTAAGATGTGTTCTATCAGTCTCCGAGTCTCTTAACGTCTTAAATAAACGACAATGGTTCTTACTTTTGTGGTCGCATCAGCGATAAAACCTCCTACAGCTATAGAGTTCTCTGGTATTATTTGTCCATGTTGTGCTTGGTCAACCTCAGACATACCTATTCTTTTCTTGTATACGCCTTGTGTAATTTTGTAAGGTAGTATTCGCTCTCATGTTCCCAAGTTTCAAACGTGTCCTAAACGGCACCAACATGATGAGATGGTTGGGTGAGACTTCGCAGTACTCGTCGTGATCCAATAGCTAGTTCCGAAAATGAATAAGTGTCTGTCTCTGAACACATAACGAATAGTGACTCCAACAAGTGTACAACAACAGACGGTTTATTTCGTAAATCAGCATCAGTTCAAAGATAAGAAAGAAGATGTTGTGTCCTCTCTTTCACAAAAGCTCAACTAATGTTGACACTAGCTTGCAAACCCTAGCTGCTGGTGTCAGATCAGTGCCGCTGTGATCCCCAATCTTTAGTCACTGCGTATAGGGTTCTGTCTTCCAGTCTCAGTTTTCAGTGGAATTTCTTCCTTCTGTCGACGTTTTCTCGTTCTGTCTCTTAGAATATAAGTTCCAAAGGTTAGTGATTATTTCAGTTTTCATCCGCTCTCTTTGAGCATTATTCCTCGTCTGTTGGTGTGTCAGCTGTCCCCCCCCCCCCCCCCCCCCCCCCCCAGTATCTCCCACAGGAAATCAATTTAGTCTTGTTAATTGACCACACCTGCGTTTTAGTAATGCAAAGTCTCCCGCTCATGAAAGAGCACGTTTCCCGTCCACCACTAGTTTATATCCGAGGACCCGGGGATAGTTACTTTATTAGTTACTCGCTCTCCTCTCTGTACCTTAATATCTTCATCACAGATGTAGAGCCTTGTGTCTGTAGTTCTAATTATGCATCATTACGTACCGTATGTTTTCCTCCTAGGAACGTTGCTTTTATCAACAAGCCAACGACCTCAAGGGTCCAGTCGTTCCATCTTCGTTACAGTAGGACTTCATAAAGCATTCTGTCTAAATGGGCAAAGAATTTGATTACAACACCGTCCGGTTAAAAACAAACAAGGCTTCCCCACTTATATTGGAATCTCCTGTGGAACGTGGACTTCAAGTACCCGTGTTGTACTGATTGTCCGTAAACTATATCCCATGCTCATGAATGGGTTATCTATAGACTGTCGGATCCATATGGCCCCATGTTCTGATAGATGTATACGCTGGCCTGAAGCGATGCATCCGAGTTGATCTTTGATGGCGTATACGTAGACTGGACGAGAGTCCGTAGAACACTCTGCAGCATTGAAAAATACTATAATAACACTCATTTGTAGAGCGAATCAATAACGCCATAGACAGGTATGTCAACGTTCCTCAGTTTTCGGTGCAAGCAACTAGATAGTACACACCAGCCAGTGGCGTCAGTCTTCCTATACTTTCTCCTTTCCGTAGTCGGCCAGTTATACGCTGAGGCGTACTGCTTCACACTTGTTCACTATCTCCAAGGAAATCCATCAGGACAAATAAAAAGACTGATACACTTTCTCTGACGCGTTATCGCCTTTAGAGTCGTCAGGAGTGTATTCGAACTGGTAACTCAGGTAGAACATATACTCTGCTGCTGGTAACTCAGGTAGAACATCTGCTCTGCTGCTGGTAACTCAGGTAGAACATCTGCTCTGCTGCTGGTAACTCAGGTAGAACATCTGCTCTGCTGCTGGTAACTCAGGTAGAACATCTGCTCTGCTGCTGGTAACTCAGGTAGAACATCTGCTCTGCTGCTGGTAACTCAGGTAGAACATCTGCTCTGCTGCTGTGAAGATATTTGATTGACCTGATGTCTCTGGGACAACCAAGCCTGACAACATTTTAGCGAGAGATTCTTGGAGACAAGTAGACCTGGCTGGTACTGGCGAGTTCATTATGGGAGTGCCACTTTTGGTCAGGACATGTTTTTGTTTTCGACTCAGCGGATTTGAGTCTTGTACCCTTTATTCCTGTTGAAGTGAGTTGCGATAACAACTCGCATCACGGTATTATGGACACTTTTATAAATGCGCGTCATCTCCTGCTTCAGCAACTAGCACAGAGTTCACGCTAAATGTTCTAGGATTGGAAGTAGAGATAGCTTTGTCAACGTAAAGTTTGAAAACCTTTGAAAATAATACTGCTACTGGAGTTGTAGGATTGATTTTGTGTTCTCAGAATGAAAATAGAAAATGTTCTTGACAAATGCCGAATTCACAGGCTCACACTGGTTTACCATATAGTTCATGTGGTTCGGTTCATATCTTTATGAGAATTTCCTCCCATTTGTATAGTATTAATAATAGCATCCCTAAGTTCCTGGGGACTATAAAGATGTGCCGCTGGCTCTGGGAACAGCATCTGCTGTGATTGTCAACTCTAATGCAGGAGTGCCAGTCGCTGCCACACATAATACACAGAAAAGTAGATACTTCTACGCTCTAAGGATGATTCTCTCTCTGGTGTCTCTCGTCTCTATACCTCGTTGTGTTTTGGTTTCTTTCAAACTGCAACAATCTGTCATTCATTTTCTGTCGCCATAGTGGTCGATCTGCTGCTGATTTTTCCCGTCTCCGTGCCTGTGTTGGTATCTATCAGGTCATGATTGCATAATGTCTTTTTAACGAAGCTTTAGCCTTCCTGTGGGTCTTTTCCCGTTTTCATTTAACTATAGAGGAGGTCCTTTGCAATACGACCATCCTACATGCGGGGGACATGCCCTAGCCAGCGTAGACTTGTTTGCTTCAGAAGACAGTTCATCGATGGTATTTTTGCTCTTGTGATGACACATTTGTTGGAGACAAGGTCTGGCCATGATATACCAAGGATGCGCTTCATACAGCGCTTGTGAAAGGTGTTCAGATTTTTTTTCTTGAGGACCATATAGAGTTCAGGAATCCCTACCGTACAGTAGCGTGCTCAAGACACAAGATTCGCAAACATTCATTGTGTTGTTATCAGTCAGCTTTTCTTTTAACCAGACTCTCGTAGTGAGATTTGAAAACATTGCACAGGCGTTTCCTATACGACTATTTATCTCTGCAATAAGGACGTTAGGATACAGCCTTTCCAAACCTCAGAACTACTTAGCTCTAAACTGGAGAGATTACAAGCGGACTAGCACAGAATCCAGCCAAACAGTTGATTAAAGAGCTAGAGATGAGATGGTTTGGCCCTGGTACCAGCTGCCACAGAGAGCCACCCTGAAGCAGCGTTATGTACACAGGGTAAGGGAAAGACCACACTGAATATGGAAATACGTAATCACAAATAGTGTAATAGAAATGAGGACCAAATTATACAACTCACTGGAAGGAGTACACAGAGGATCCTTACATACCTCGCAGTACACAGAGAAAGGATCTACCTCGTGGTTCTGTTTGTCGTAATGACACAGAGAACATCGCTGCTAGCGATTGGTGTGTCTGCCTTATGGTAAAACCTTGGACGTCTGCGACAGTGAGAGCTTCTACTACCAAACCACTACAGAAATGCCACAAGACTCAACTGAAGACTGACAACTCGGTTGCTATGTCAACTGTCATGTTATAGATGACACAATTGTGAGGAAGGAAACTGTCTTGTTATAGATGATACAATTGTGAGGAAGGAAACTGTCTTGTTATAGATGATACAATTGTAAGGAAGGAAACTGTCTTGTTATAGATGATACAATTGTGAGGAAGGAAACTGTCTTGTTATAGATGATACAATTGTGAGGAAGGAAACTGTCTTGTTATAGATGATACAATTGTGAGGAAGGAAACTGTCTTGTTATAGATGACACAATTGTGAGGAAGGAAACTGTTTTGTTATAGATGATACAATTGTGAGGAAGGAAACTGTCATGTTATAGATGATACAATTGTGAGGAAGGAAACTGTCTTGTTATAGATGATACAATTGTGAGGAAGGAAACTGTCTTGTTATAGATGATACAATTGTGAGGAAGGAAACTGTCTTGTTATAGATGACACAATTGTGAGGAAGGAAACTGTTTTGTTATAGATGATACAATGGTGAGGAAGGAAACTGTCTTGTTATAGATGATACAATTGTGAGGAAGGAAACTGTTTTGTTATAGATGATACAATTGTTAGGAAGGAAACTGTCATGTTATAGATGATACAATTGTGAGGAAGGAAACTGTCATGTTATAGATGATACAATTGTGAGGAAGGAAACTGTCATGTTATAGATGATACAATTGTGAGGAAGGAAACTGTCTTGTTATAGATGATACAATTGTTAGGAAGGAAACTGTCATGTTATAGATGACACAATTGTGAGGAAGGAAACTGTCGTGTTATAGATGATACAATTGTGAGGAAGGAAACTGTTTTGTTATAGATGATACAATTGTTAGGAAGGAAACTGTCATGTTATAGATGATACAATTGTGAGGAAGGAAACTGTCATGTTATAGATGATACAATTGTGAGGAAGGAAACTGTCATGTTATAGATGATACAATTGTGAGGAAGGAAACTGTCTTGTTATAGATGATACAATTGTTAGGAAGGAAACTGTCATGTTATAGATGACACAATTGTGAGGAAGGAAACTGTCGTGTTATAGATGATACAATTGTGAGGAAGAGAACTGTCATGTTATAGATGACACAATTGTTAGGAAGAGAACTGTCATGTTATAGATGATACAATTGTTAGGAAGAGAACTGTCATGTTATAGATGACACAATTGTTAGGAAGAGAACTGTCATGTTATAGATGATACAACTGTGAGGAAGGAAACTGTCTTGTTATAGATGATACAATTGTGAGGAAGAGAACTGTCATGTTATAGATGACACAATTGTTAGGAAGAGAACTGTCATGTTATAGATGATACAATTGTTAGGAAGAGAACTGTCTTGTTATAGATGATACAATTGTGAGGAAGGAAACTGTTTTGTTATAGATGATACAATTGTTAGGAAGAGAACTGTCATGTTATAGATGACACAATTGTTAGGAAGAGAACTGTCATGTTATAGATGACACAATTGTTAGAAAGAGAACTGTCATGTTATAGATGACACAATTGTTAGGAAGAGAACTGTCATGTTATAGATGACACAATTGTTAGGAAGAGAACTGTCATGTTATAGATGACACAATTGTTAGGAAGAGAACTGTCATGTTATAGATGACACAATTGTTAGGAAGAGAACTGTCATGTTATAGATGACACAATTGTGAGGAAGAGAACTGTCATGTTATAGATGATACAATTGTGAGGAAGAGAACTGTCATGTTATAGATGACACAATTGTTAGGAAGAGAACTGTCATGTTATAGATGACACAATTGTGAGGAAGAGAACTGTCATGTTATAGATGATACAATTGTGAGGAAGAGAACTGTCATGTTATAGATGACACAATTGTGAGGAAGAGAAATGTCATGTTATAGATGATACAATTGTTAGGAAGAGAACTGTCATGTTATAGATGACACAATTGTTAGGAAGAGAACTGTCATGTTATAGATGATACAATTGTTAGGAAGAGAACTGTCATGTTATAGATGACACAATTGTTAGGAAGAGAACTGTCATGTTATAGATGACACAATTGTTAGGAAGAGAACTGTCATGTTATAGATGACACAATTGTTAGGAAGAGAACTGTCATGTTATAGATGACACAATTGTGAGGAAGAGAACTGTCATGTTTTAGATGATACAATTGTGAGGAAGAGAACTGTCATGTTATAGATGACACAATTGTTAGGAAGAGAACTGTCATGTTATAGATGACACAATTGTGAGGAAGAGAACTGTCATGTTATAGATGATACAATTGTTAGGAAGAGAACTGTCATGTTATAGATGACACAATTGTTAGGAAGAGAACTGTCATGTTATAGATGACACAATTGTTAGGAAGAGAACTGTCTTGTTATAGATGACACAATTGTTAGGAAGAGAACTGTCGTGTTATAGATGACACAATTGTTAGGAAGAGAACTGTCATGTTATAGATGATACAATTGTGAGGAAGAGAACTGTCATGTTATAGATGACACAATTGTTAGGAAGAGAACTGTCATGTTATAGATGACACAATTGTGAGGAAGAGAACTGTCATGTTATAGATGATACAATTGTTAGGAAGAGAACTGTCATGTTATAGATGACACAATTGTTAGGAAGAGAACTGTCATGTTATAGATGACACAATTGTGAGGAAGAGAACTGTCATGTTATAGATGACACAATTGTTAGGAAGAGAACTGTCATGTTATAGATGATACAATTGTGAGGAAGAGAACTGTCATGTTATAGATGATACAATTGTGAGGAAGAGAACTGTCATGTTATAGATGACACAATTGTTAGGAAGAGAACTGTCATGTTATAGATGATACAATTGTGAGGAAGAGAACTGTCATGTTATAGATGATACAATTGTGAGGAAGAGAACTGTCATGTTATAGATGATACAATTGTGAGGAAGAGAACTGTCATGTTATAGATGACACAATTGTGAGGAAGAGAACTGTCATATTATAGATGATACAATTGTTAGGAAGAGAACTGTCATGTTATAGATGACACAATTGTGAGGAAGAGAACTGTCATGTTATAGATGATACAATTGTTAGGAAGAGAACTGTCATGTTATAGATGATACAATTGTTAGGAAGAGAACTGTCATGTTATAGATGACACAATTGTGAGGAAGAGAACTGTCATGTTATAGATGATACAATTGTTAGGAAGAGAACTGTCTTGTTATAGATGACACAATTGTTAGGAAGAGAACTGTCGTGTTATAGATGACACAATTGTGAGGAAGAGAACTGTCATGTTATAGATGATACAATTGTGAGGAATTAAACTGTTTTGTTATAGATGATACAATTGTGAGGAAGGAAACTGTCATGTTATAGACGACACAATTGTGAGGAAGGAAACTGTCTTGTTATAGATGACACAATTGTTAGGAAGAGAACTGTCATGTTATAGATGACAAAATTGTGAGGAAGAGAACTGTCATGTTATAGACGACACAATTGTGAGGAAGGAAACTGTCTTGTTATAGATGACACAATTGTTAGGAAGAGAACTGTCATGTTATAGATGACACAATTGTGAGGAAGAGAACTGTCGTGTTATAGACGACACAATTGTGAGGAAGGAAACTGTCTTGTTATAGATGACACAATTGTTAGGAAGAGAACTGTCATGTTATAGATGACACAATTGTGAGGAAGAGAACTGTCATGTTATAGATGACACAATTGTGAGGAAGAGAACTGTCATGTTATAGATGACACAATTGTGAGGAAGAGAACTGTCATGTTATAGATGACACAATTGTGAGGAAGAGAACTGTCATGTTATAGATGACACAATTGTGAGGAAGAGAACTGTCGTGTTATAGATGACACAATTGTTAGGAAGAGAACTGTCATGTTATAGATGACACAATTGTGAGGAAGAGAACTGTCATGGTATAGATGACACAATTGTGAGGAAGAAAACTGTCATGTTATAGATGACACAATTGTGAGGAAGAGAACTGTCATGTTATAGATGACACAATTGTGAGGAAGAGAACTGTCATGTTATAGACGACACAATTGTGAGGAAGGAAACTGTCATGTTATAGATGACACAATTGTGAGGAAGGAAACTGTCATGTTATAGATGATACAATTGTGAGGAAGAGAACTGTCATGTTATAGATGACACAATTGTGAGGAAGGAAACTGTCATGTTATAGATGATACAATTGTTAGGATGGAAACTGTTTTGTTATAGATGATACAATTGTGAGGAAGGAAACTGTCATGTTATAGATGATACAATTGTTAGGAAGGAAACTGTTTTGTTATAGATGATACAATTGTGAGGAAGGAAACTGTCATGTTATAGATGATACAATTGTGAGGAAGAGAACTGTCATGTTATAGATGACACAATTGTGAGGAAGGAAACTGTCATGTTATAGATGATACAATTGTGAGGAAGGAAACTGTCATGTTATAGATGATACAATTGTTAGGAAGGAAACTGTTTTGTTATAGATGATACAATTGTGAGGAAGGAAACTGTCATGTTATAGATGATACAATTGTGAGGAAGAGAACTGTCATGTTATAGATGACACAATTGTGAGGAAGGAAACTGTCATGTTATAGATGATACAATTGTGAGGAAGAGAACTGTCATGTTATAGATGACACAATTGTGAGGAAGGAAACTGTCATGTTATAGATGATACAATTGTTAGGAAGAGAACTGTCATGTTATAGATGACACAATTGTGAGGAAGGAAACTGTCGTGTTATAGATGACACAATTGTTAGGTAGAGAACTGTCATGTTATAGATGATACAATTGTGAGGAAGAGAACTGTCATGTTATAGATGATACAATTGTTAGGAAGGAAACTGTTTTGTTATAGATGATACAATTGTGAGGAAGAGAACTGTCATGTTATAGATGATACAATTGTTAGGAAGAGAACTGTCATGTTATAGATGATACAATTGTGAGGAAGAGAACTGTCATGTTATAGACGACACAATTGTTAGGAAGAGAACTGTCATGTTATAGACGACACAATTGTTAGGAAGAGAACTGTCATGTTATAGACGACACAATTGTTAGGAAGAGAACTGTCATGTTATAGACGACACAATTGTTAGGAAGAGAACTGTCATGTTATAGACGACACAATTGTTAGGAAGAGAACTGTCATGTTATAGATGACACAATTGTGAGGAAGAGAACTGTCATGTTATAGATGACACAATTGTTAGGAAGAGAACTGTCTTGTTATAGATGACACAATTGTGAGGAAGAGAACTGTCATGTTATAGATGATACAATTGTGAGGAAGAGAACTGTTTTGTTATAGATGATACAATTGTGAGGAAGGAAACTGTTTTGTTATAGATGATACAATTGTGAGGAAGGAAACTGTTTTGTTATAGATGATACAATTGTTAGGAAGAGAACTGTCATGTTATAGATGATACAATTGTGAGGAAGAGAACTGTCATGTTATAGATGACACAATTGTGAGGAAGGAAACTGTCATGTTATAGATGATACAATTGTGAGGAAGAGAACTGTCATGTTATAGATGACACAATTGTGAGGAAGGAAACTGTTTTGTTATAGATGACACAATTGTGAGGAAGGAAACTGTCATGTTATAGATGACACAATTGTGAGGAAGGAAACTGTTTTGTTATAGATGACACAATTGTGAGGAAGGAAACTGTCATGTTATAGATGATACAATTGTGAGGAAGGAAACTGTCATGTTATAGATGATACAATTGTGAGGAAGGAAACTGTCGTGTTATAGATGATACAATTGTGAGGAAGAGAACTGACCTGGCGGTTGTTGTTGCAGGTGTCATGTGGGGCGAGAACGGTTACATGAGGATCGTCAGAGGCAAGAACATGTGTGGGATTGCTCTTGAGGTGTTCTACCCCATCAACGACCAGTAGGATGGACCAGGGGACCATAGCGGACACAGATCGATGACCTTATACAAATGGCATCACTGCAATTTCCAGTAATAGTAAAGTTATCTCACTGTTATCTATGTGCACTAAAAGGATGTTATTGTTGTGAATAGAACTTGAAATACTAAATACATCACCAGGCTTGCCAGTTTTGGCGACTAAACTAAAAAGATACAAAAACACACACAAACACCACACACACACACACACACACTCAGAGAGAGGAGAGAGTCAGAGAGAGAGAGAGAGAGAGAGAGAGAGAGAGAGAGAGAGAGAGAGAGAGAGAGAGAGTAATACACTGACAGGGTATGTTCACTGTTGCTTTTCGTGTGTTAGATTGAGTGAAGTAAATAATATAGAAAACATGTAACGAACTCAGGCCCAGCTACACACTCACGAGTGACGAAGTGACTGGACGTTCATTTATGCGTGCTAACCTTTAAGAGCCTAAGTTTAAGTGGCAGGGGTGTCAGGTAAGTGCGACGTTGTATTGTCTCGACGGTCTTACCGGCGACCACGCGTGCTCTATATTTCAGGATTTGACCCTATAACATGTACAATTGGCCTTAACCCCAACGCCCCTACCCCACAAACAGAACCTAGGTACCACGAGAGAATGCATTCTACACGCCTCTAACGTAGACCTGCCTAACCAGTCATCAATTACAGTTCAGCTAGTGTCTAGCTGGGCGGAGCTGGGCCTGAGTTTATTACTAGTTCTTATTATAATAGAGTAAAAGAAACATTTTTACACAAGTGGTGCATAAGGCGTGTGACGCTAGACTCACTGACCAGTAGTCATTTCGTGGATCGTGTTGTAAACATCGGACATGTGACGCTAGACTCACTGACCAGTAGTCATTTCGTGGATCGTGTTGTAAACATCGGACATGTGACGCTAGACTCACTGACCAGTAGTCATTCCGTGGATCGTGTTGTAAACATCGGACATGTGACGCTAGATTCACTGACCAGTAGTCATTCCGTGGATGGTGTTGTAAACATCGGACATGTGACGCTAGATTCACTGACCAGTGGTCATTCCGTGGATGGTGTTGTAAACATCAGTCATGTGACGCTAGACTCACTGACCAGTGGTCATTCCGTGGATCGTGTTGTAAACATCAGTCATGTGACGCTAGACTCACTGAACAGTGGTCATTCCGTGGATCGTGTTGTAAACATCGGACATGTGACGCTAGAGTCACTGACCAGTGGTCATTCCGTGGATGGTGTTGTAAACATCAGTCATGTGACGCTAGACTCACTGAACAGTGGTCATTCCGTGGATGGTGTTGTAAACATCATGCATGTGACGCTAGACTCACTGACAAATTGTGCCAATCAAATCCATGCAGCGCGGATTCGGCTCCCAGTACATCATGGATATATTAGCTATACACGACACTGATCATAGTATGTGTGATCGAGTCTTTCATATTAGTGAATGAACAGTGGCCACTGATCTGCCTGTGAGTGTGGCGGCTGTGTCTTTGTCTTGATTCCAACCATTACTTCCCTTTTTAACTATAATAGGTTAAGCACAGACAAAGCTTATGAGGTCTTCCTTCTTATCCATGAAACAAATCTTTTGTTCACTCCTTTCTTTATTCTTATCTTTCTTAAAAGCCGAGCAAGCTAATTTGTCTCGAAGCTTCCTACCTTCCAGGAATTCGATGCGACTCGCAAAAAAGCACTATAGTCACTGCTCTATTGCCGACACAGTCCAGCCAGTTCAATATCATATAATCTATATAATAAACACTCCAATGGTTAAATACCCCCTAAGAGACGACTGGACCCCCTTAGACATGTAAAGTGACTCAGATGTCGCCGTCTTGCCATGATGTTCTCACTGCCTGTAGTCACAAAACGCTTCTCACATCAGGAGCAGATGCGAGCATGTGAATGTCAACAGAATATTGTCATGGACAGTGTTATTCCCTTAGAAGGTTCTCATACAAACAAAGATCCAGTGGTTGGGGCAGAGGAACTGGTTCCTCTTTCTTCTTTCCTCTACTCCTGAAATGTCTCGCAGCGTCCGGGCAGGAAGAGATCTCTGGATGCGACCCAGGGCAGTAAGAGATCTCTGGAAGAGACCCAGGGCAGGAAGAGATCGCTGGAAGAGACCCAGGGCAGACAGAGATCTCTGGAAGAGACCCAGGGGCAGGAAGAGATCTCTGGAAGAGACCCAGGGCAGGAAGAGATCTCTGGAAGAGACCCAGGGCAGAAAAAGATCTCTGGAAGAGACCCAGGGCAGAAAAATATCTCTGAAAGAGACCCAGGGCAGGAAGAGGTTTCTAGAAGAGACCCATGGCAGGAAGAGATCTCTGGAAGAGACCCTTTTGTTCACTTCGTATCAAATACTTTTCAGTTCCGGACAATGTTCTGTGTGGTCGACATCTGGCTTTGACACCGCTGTATCTGTTTAACATTGCTTTCTGTGGTGACCTGTCTGTTGCCAGTCTTGTTACATGGCCGAACCATTTGATTTGTTGGTTTTAAGCCTTTCTACTCCTGATATTATCGTTCTTAGGTAGATCGTTCCTTGATACAGCTAGCATTATAAGTAAACATATAATTTCTATTATTTTTCTTGCCTTCTTAGGGCAATACCCTTGTTTGACACTGATAACACAGCGTAGGTAGAAATATCTTGATATTCGTGGGTACTGTCTCCTTACATTCTAGTCGGTTCGTGAGATCTTTTCTTTCTTCTACAAGCACTAAATAAACTAGTGGCGGTTTGCTGGACCAGTCTTGTGTTTTGAACTTCACAGAATGGAAAATGTAAATGTGATACTCACACCAGTCGTTGAGTCACCGCTTGTCGTAGAAATGAAAAATCTTCGCTTATTTGCTGAAGATGGAGCACTTATAGGGGTGTCTCGAGTGCTATGATATCGATTCTTACTTCAACAGTCAACATTCAACATTGTATTAGAACTTTTATTTACTGACCTAAAGATCGCCCCGTTAACAATTTGTGGTGAACTTGTATTTATATGTAGTTCCAAGTGTTTATATATCGTTAACATGAGTGGCTGCTCTAATACTTTATGAGTCTTGGAAAATTGGAGCCGGTAAAACTTCTTAGCTCTTCAGAGACATACCTCTCCCCTCCCCTCTTACAAAAATTACCTTGGCTCCCAGGTCTAACCAGCCTTAAATGGGTAGCAGATAGAGACCTGGGAAGTAAGTGATACCAGCGAGATACTGACCACATCACATCAAGAGCCGATTGCTCCATAAAGTATAAATCGAGTCCTAGATCAATCACTATAAGCTCAATAAAACGGACGGTGTGGAAAAGGTTCCTGTACATTTTGGCCCTTGGATTCACTCACTGACATCCTATCATACATCTTCTCTGGGATTAGAGGTGGGGGCGGGGGGGGGGGGGTTAACCAGGCATAGATAGTGCTTGTGGAAGTAAAACGCACGAAGCATTTGTTTCCTCGTAATGCCCTCGTTACAAAATCTTACCGTACACATTTCACCCTGTGTTGTACGCCTTGAATTTTGCTTTCATCCACTTCATTGTTCAACTATGGTGGGTTCTCTCCCATGGAGGCCATGCATTTGTAATTTATATTTGTAGGTTATTTAAGCTTTCATCATAATTTCAGTTATTAAAAGATGTTAAACTGTACTGTGTTTTTTTTTTTTTTTTTTTGAACGATCATTTGAGTGTTTAATCATTTTATTTTCGCTGTTAGTGTTTCTAAATAGCAACCGAGTTTTGTGAGGTTGTTTCAGTTTGTTTCTTTTGGTTATTCAACATATCTTTGCGCCGCTTATTGACCTTTAGTTTTTTTCTGTTGTGTGCATGCGTGCGTGTCTGTGAGCGTCCGTGTATGTGTGTGTGTGTGTGTGTGTGTGCGTGCGTGTATGCCCGCGTGAGTGTTTGCTTGCGTGCGTGTATTGCTTTTTTATATGATCTTCTAATAAAGATGGCTGTCTTATATACACAATCGCACATACACATATACACAAATAAGTGCTAGTTTGTAAATCCTATTTTCCTCTCAGTTTCAGTTAATAAAAGATGTTTAAATGTATAAATTTTTTAATAAAAGAATTGTTAATCGTTTTAACACTAACAGTTGCATAACAAAGAGACACCAAAGTGACATTCTAATGTATATAATAGTATAATTAAGATTTTATAAATGGCTGTAGAATTGTTTCACACATCAAAGACCAAGTATATAAAGAACATATAGACACATGCGTACTGCAAAGAGAGACATGTGTGTGTAGTTTCTATGAGTGTGTGGGTGTGTGTGTGTGTGTATGTATCTTAAGACATTTACAAAAAGTAGAAGAGGACGTTAGATACCACTGGATTGGGGGTGGAGCTGGGGAAAAAGGGTAGAACGACAACAGTGGACGTGTATGAAGACACATAGCATAAGTAAAAATGTGAGTTTGCTTTTAAAGTTGTCAGTCTATTCAGTTCTAAGCCATAACAGTAAACAAGTCCGTTCGTAAACAAAGGGTTAATAACTTAGATAACACACTTGTGCACGGACATAGATGACACACTTGTGCACGGACATAGATGACACACTTGTGCACGGACATAGATGACACACTTGTGCACAGCTATAAATGACACACTTGTGCACGGACATAGATGACACACTTGTGCACGGACATAGATGACACACTTGTGCACAGCTATAAATGACACACTTGTGCACGGACATAGATGACACACTTGTGCACAGCTATAGATAACACACTTGTGCACAGCTATAGATGACACACTTGTGCACGGATATAGAGGACACACATGTGCACGGACGTAGATGACACACTTGTGCACAGACATAGATGACACACATGTGCACGGACATAGATGACACACATGTGCACGGACATAGATGACACACATGTGCACGGACGCATATGACACACATGCGCACAGACGTAGATGACACAAATGTGCACGGATATAGATGACACACATGTACACG